AGTGTAAGTTTAATGTTATTTTGATCACTCTTAACATATTTTACTAATAAGTTTGAGGTATTCTTTAGTTCACTCTTTATTGTTGATTGCATTTCATTTTCTGTTTCATTTTTAACATCTGTTGGCTCTATTTTAGTTTTTTCCTTTGTTGCTCTCTTTTCCGTGTCGAAATCATTATTTTTGAAGTTCTCCTGTAATGTTGGATGGTCTGGTGGTTCAACAATTTTTCTTTTCGTTTGTCGTGAAATTATTTTCCCTAAACTTCTATTTAGTCGTCGTTCTTTTAATATTTTTCTGATACCTTTTAATTGAGGGACTCTAGCCGGTCTTCTTTTTTTGTTTGAATTGGATGCATTATCACTACTAGGTTTATTTTGTGTTTTATTTGATTTGCTTTTCTTTCGAGGATCTGGTATATAATCTCCAAGAAATATGGTGCCTTTTTTACTTTTATCAATAGCTGGGACTGTCTTATTCTCTTCATTGGATTTGTGTTTTTTATCTTTTGTTACATCTTTAATTATGACTTTATTATACATGTTAGATTTAAGTTGGTCATTTCCGTTTTTAATAGAAACCTTTTTAATTACTTCATTATTTTTAGGATAGGGATTATCTGTGGTTTTATTTTCTATATAATTTTTACGTTTTTCATTCTCAATTGGTACTCTCTCATTTTCAACATCGGTCGCATGTCCTATATGTTTTTCCGAATTTTCTAAACATTCATCTTTTTCGTAAATGTTGTTTTCATTGGGCGTATTATCCCTTATTTTATCAAAAATGTCATCTGATACTCGTTCTGTAGCCATAGATTCCGGAGTATTTTCATTAGGTGATGAATTCGTCAAAAGAGTACTTTGTTCTAGCTGTAAAGTATTATCGGGAACATAGTCAGCAATGACATCATAAGAATCAATTGTTATCTCATAACCTGGGCTGGGGACATAATCAACCGATTCTGTTAGTATTTGTTCATTTTGGGATGTGATTGTTTCATAGCCAACGTTAACTGGATGTTGGTTTTCTTTTGTGTCATTTTCAACTTTTTGTGTTGATTCTTTCAGTAGATTAGGTAGAGTAAAAATTGCATTTTCTTGCTGAGAGAATTCTGTGTTGTAAATAGAATTGACATCGGTATGAGGTCTTGGTTCACTTTCTTCAGTGCGGTCCCAGTCTTTGTACTTAATTTTCAATCCTAATGCTTTACTTTTGGGTTGATGATTTGAGTATGATTCACAAGGATATTCTAAGGACTGTCGACGACCTGTATGCAACGTATTTCTTTGTCGCCTATCTTGGTATGGTTCATATTTAGGTAGTAGAACAGTTTTCCTAGAACAGATTGCTTTTTGATTTTCTTCGCATTTTGAAGACTCATCTGGTTTATTCGTGTTTTGAAGACTTGCATTTATTCGTGTCTTAGTTTCAGACTGAAATTCTTCAGAACGTTGTCCGTCATTGTGTGGATTACGTTTTAGTTGTACAGTGTCATTATGAGAGGTTTCATTTTCAAAACCTTTACTTCCCGGTTTGTATTTAGCAGGAATACTACAAAGATCACTGTCTTTATACCATTTAATAATTCTAAGCGAAGAATGACGAGGTTTAGCATTTCGTCTAGCTTGTTTTCTCCAAGTAGTTAGTGTGAATGGCTGATTATCTTTAATGGGCTCCTTCATTTCGTTTCTTATAGCCGGTATTGTACTTTGATGTTTATTGGTCTCACCGGGTTTGCCTGGAGGTAATGGTATGTCAAGTAAATCAATTGAATTTAAGATCACAGCTACACCATCTGTGTTATCTGATGAAACACTATCAATATCATTTGTAGAGGCTATTTCAGTCTTCAATTCAACTGTATCTAAAAGTTCGGATTCTTTCCTTATTTTATTTGATAAAATAGTCGGTACTTTTCTATCAGCATTTACAATATCGTTTGGAAAGACTTTTTCAGATATCGGTTCGATTTTGTCGAAAGTGTTGGATTCTTTCTCAATTTCATTTGGCCTCATAGTTGATTTACCAAGTTCAACATTGTCAATATCGTTTGGAGATACAGTTCCAGTCGTTTGTTTAACTTTCTTTAAAGTATTCGATTCTTTCTTAATTTCATAAGTAAACGTGTTCATTTGTTTGTCGTATAGTTCAAAATTTATATTATTTGTAGAAACTGTTTCAGTCTTCTGTTTAATGTTGGGTATAGTTTTGGAATCATTTATTTCTTTTTTTGAAATAATGGCTTTATTATTTTTAAGTTCCATGGTGCCTACATACTTCACGGAATCTGAGTCACTATCATCCGAGCTAATATCATATACTGGCACTTTTACTTCTTGATTTAACTTTATATTTTTGTTTTTTTCCTGTGGATCTATAGACGTCTTTGTTTGGTCAGAAATACTAGGTCGCGGTGTCGCTATATCAAAGTTGTTTGTTGGAACACTTTGTTTTGGACTCGATTCGTATCCTGATTCAGTACTAAGCTGATGTTTTAACTTCAGCCGTGGTTTACAAACATCTGATACACGGGATGCTCGCCTACTTTTATAGCCATATTCACCGAAGATAACTAATTCAAAATTATGTCCGGGTTTTCTAGAAATGTGTGATTCACGAGTTTCCGACTCATTCAAATAGTCTGGAGGGTCTGTAAGACTTCCTTTAGAGGTAATATTAGGCATACAAGCTTCTAATTTCTTGAAATTTTGTGGATTGCTTTGTGTTTCTTTTTCAGTTGTATTTTCTAATTCATTTACGTATTGTGGATTCCGTTCTCCTGAAGTTTTAGACTCTGTATTAATGTCTATGGAAGTAGCTGATTGTTTTTCTTTTCGTGACACATATTCATGATATTTAAGCCTTTTTATTATTTTGGTTGGTACATGAGCTGCTGGCTCGCTTTCGTTTGGCACCACTGAACTAGTTTCATTAACTTCCGTATCACAATTAGACATAATCTTATTCTGTCCTTCAGCAAGTTCATTGGAGTTGTGGTCCTTATTTTGCAAGACTCTATTATCATGAGCAATATTTGTCAGTAAAATTATTTTTGAGTTCGGGCTTTCAAGTGTGAAGTTTTCGTGAACCGATTTATTTTCGTGAAAATTATCTTGTTTTATTTCCACGCCTATGTTAGTATCTTTTCGTGGTGTAATTTTGTGTGAGACACTTTCTTTTATCGTAGTGTTCTTGACAAGATTTTTCTGGAATTTACACTTGGTATTAATAATTGATGCATTTTCTGCTGTAATGCTTACTAAACCTTCACCTTCTTGGGATGAAGTTCTAGGAGTTACTTCAATTTGCTCTGTAATTTTCTCAGATGAATTATTTTGTGACCTACGCTCAATTATTTTACGCAACTTATCTTTAAGTTCAAATGCGCTTTTTTGATCCATTATGGAGTGGTATTCTGACAACAGTACTCCTAAAAGGTCTTCTGACTGTTCAGAACTACAAGAAATATTTTGATCTAAAAAATCCAAAATATTTCTTATAAACTTTCCTGATTCTATCATATTCTCATTTTCTGACACATTATTAGGGTCATTAGTTGGTTGTTGTTGTATTTTGGGCTGTTCAATGTTTTGTGGGGCAGACTCCACCAATGATTGAAAAGTATGAAACAAATATTGCTCAGACGATTCATTTGTGATTGGGGGATTTTCTTCTGGCGGTCTCACAATGTCATATGACGATGCTGTGACAGGATCAGACCGGTGACTTGTCATGTTGTGCTTTTCAGCTAAAGTGCCTTCTACATTTTGTCTATTCCAAGTTGCCTCACCAGTGTCTAGTCTCTCTTGTGTCATAATTGAATCAAGAGATTTGTTGGCAATATATTGTGAGTTAAGTTGATGATTAACCATGGACACATAATTAAACCATTCATTATGTGTCATTGGACCTGGTGCAAGATTGTGTGGAATACAAAAATTATTTAAATATGCAGTATTCCTCCACCCTTCCATTTCTCTGCGCATACTAGCGATATGCCCTGAGCCTGTATTTTGTTCAAGATTTGGTATATAAGAAGAATAATCAATTTGGGTTTGATAACTAATTGGAGTCACGCTAGGGATCTCCCTAGCGTGTGCGAAACTGTCTAAAGGTATGCTATTACTCAGATGATAAGCAATATTATTGTTAATTGGTATTGAGATATTGTTAGACTCATGAGAAGTTACTGCACTATTTCGTTCATTTACTTTTTCGCCAATGTTGTCATTCCCTTCTTTTTCTTCGTCGTCGTCTAGATTTATGACCACACCATCGTCATGTGGTAAAGCGTTTTTAAAACGTCTCAGTGACTTGGCTCGCGATTGTTTCCTACGGATTTCACGTATATAGTTTATATAATTTGCTATTGCAGCTACGACCTTTTTCTGTGAATGCTTACAAACATCCTTGTTTATTTGCAGTTTTAGCTCATGAAGCCGCTTATCTGAGCTTGAGCTTGCAAAGTTCCCTGAAACCACCATATTATGTTGGTACATGGGTTCTGGTTAGTAAATATAGCAGAACACAAAGCAACATTTATAATTGTAGTTACTTACGGAGCATGCAATCCCTGCTTCTTGCGAATTCAATGAGTCATTGTTCCTAAATAATAATCTCCTCCTTTTCTTTGGGAAACCATGTTGATAAAATTTTGATAATTATTAATGCCAATTAGTGAATTTATAATAATAAGAAAATAATTTTGAAAAAACAGCCAATAGGGTGGTTCCACGAGGGGATTGTTACGTAATATAGTTTAGGTTGTGGTGATGATGACCCAGATTCAAATGATTTCACTTTCATGCAACAAACTACACACTGAAGGGATACTGAGCAGTCGTCAATCGCGGGGCTACAGATTGAATGTCGTGATGTGATGATGTGTCGAGATTACCTTTCAGATCGAGCTCTCGTGGCTGTCCAAGTTTCGAAGATTCCACTGTGTGTGTTTGTGTATGTGTGTGTTAGATAATAATCAATTATATTGTATAATTTACCTTCACTGAGAACAGCTTCGGCGACTGGTTCTTCTGTCTTAGTATTGGGGTTCTTCATCTCAATCTCAATAGATTCGCCCTGTTTTATATCACTTGGGTTCAGCTGCAAGAATTGTTGCAATGATTCAGGGAGCCCTTGTGCTTGCTGTAACAATAAAATGCCTTGTAATAATAAAATATGAACATAAAATGATAAAATGATTAATGAGGTCAATAGGTATGTAGAAAAAATGTGAATAATTGTCAATTTCTAACCTGTTGCGGTATTGATCTTAAATATTTCATAATTTGCTGTTGATGATTGGGATCTATAGACCATTGTATTGTCTCGCCAACTTCTGTTCCCTGTGAACTCTCCTGTGTGGACAAAAATAAGATTTAATTATTAAAGCATAGGTACAGTGTACATTTATATTAATAACAATAACATTAATATGATAGATCTGTGTAATGTTATCTAATTAAATTATTAATGTGTAAAAAAGCAAAGCTTGTTTTCCTTTCTTTAAATACATTGCCCAACTCTAGGATTGTCTCCTCTCAATCAGTTGTGTCTCACAAACACAACAAACACTTAATTTCACATATACATGACACCCAGACCCGAAACAATAATTTGTGGATCACACAAAGTGTTGTTCCGTGTGGGAATCGAAGCCGCGACACGTTGTACAGCAGCCAGTTTCCCAGCCACCGCACCAACCGTGTAATCAAATTGGTTTAAAATAATGATTATATATTATATATCAAGTTCATAATTACATCATCATCACACTCCTCCTTGACGACGATAACGTTTGGGTTATGGTTGTCCGACATGGTGTTGTTGTTCAATGTCTTGCCGGCCTCGTTGATGATAATCTGCTGGTTCGGAGTAATGAACACCTGAAACATTATATTTCCATAAGTTTTTATGAAAAAAATATTAAATATCATGATTATGCCATAGCCCGTTACACTCTTATTGAACACAACCCCATTCTTTCTTCTACTCCGATCTGGAGATGTAATACATTACTGCCCCTACATTGACTAAGGTACAAATAAACATTGTAACAAACATTTTTATTAGTTGTGATATGAGTATCATTTAATAAGGAAATGATCTATGATCATCGACCAGTAACGATTTCAGTTTTTATATTATTACTAAATTTTCAATAATGTTTAGCCAAACTCAGGAGTTCCCTTGCTCAGAAATCCCAATCAGTTGCGTCTTACAAAATGAACGTACCTGAGGCATATTTTGCGATATATGATCCTTTTCTTGTGTTGGCTGTACCAACTGCATCTCCTGTGGTAAGGCCAGTACTTGGTGACCTAGGGAAAAATAATTAAGTTTATTAATTACAGAGCTTTTAAAATAAAATATGATTTATTTAAATAATTAAGGTAAGAGTATGTTATGTCAAGTTAAACTATAATAAAATGCGGCGTTGCGTTGGAGCAATAGAGCGATTTTATTATCTGCCTAGAATTGACACATTGATAGCCAATTTCTGTAGTCTGTAATTAGATTTGGCTAGTAAAGAAAAGTGTTGATGTTGCTGTTCTTCCTGTGTTTAAAGTTTTAGTTGAAGTTTACAAACATAAAATAACATATATACACAACACCCATTTCCAAAGAGGCTTGTTCCGTAGGGAATATTATATCATACAAATTTTAATTTATTTAGTACATAGTGGGTAATGAGATAGTTTAAAACATTGTTACATATTTGATCTAAGCTCTACCCAAAATATATGTATTGTGTATCTAAATATATCGATATCCTCCTATTCTATTTATAGGAATTTTAAAATGGCGATAAATTAGTTGCCACACGTGCTAGTGTGTTTATGACGTCATAAGTGCTCCGGTGATAGTTAGTGAACAATAAATTGTATGTAATAACATTATCACCTGGTCGCAGCCTGAATGTACCTGAGCATGTGAAAAAATCTTGTTTTAAATCTATAATAGTATAAAACTTAACTATTAACAACAAAAGTATGTATTTACTAAATTTTCTATCAAGCCTAAATTATCTACCTTTGTAAAATGATACAAAGGCATTTATTAGCTGTACAAAACCAATATAAAACAATGTTGCCATCATTGGACCATAGTACACTTTAATACATTTAGATAATGTTTTTTCAACTAGTTTTATTATAAGGATGCCTGATTCATTTCAGATCCAACCGGAGCCCATAGTTACGAACAATATATAATTTTGTCTTATGAAAGCTTAGTTTAAAAAGTGCTTACCTTCCCCCAAGCTGCCCTGTCCGAGCAAGTGGACACCATTTCCATATTCAACAGTCAGCACTGCAGAAGAGTTAAAAATTACAAAATGTTTTTCAAAGAAAAATTAGAAAGCAAATATTATTTAATTTGTCTTGCCAAAGCTAAGAAATATTCATTAATGTCATAAAATGTTCAATGTACGAGTATATTATGGTTTAGTTAGTTAGTTTTTTGGATGTGGACACCATAGTCTTGTTGACACGCGACGCAACCTTTAAAATATCTGTGTTCATGCTTTTTTATGTATGTACCTGCATTCTATAATAGATTTTTGTTTTTTTTTGCAATAGCAATAGTGATTTTACATTAAATAAGCAATATGTGCAATGGTGTTATTTTCGGTACATGAGCTACAAGCTATGCCGTCATGACGTACCAATATTTAAATGTTCATATGTTATTAAGATTAAAATGTAAATAATATAAACAAATAAAAAAAAATATAACAGAAAAATAAAGATAAACAAAATAACATTTATAAAAATAATAACAATCAAGCTTATGAATTAAAAAGTCTTCGTAATTACGTATACATAATAACATTTCTTGAGCATAAGCATTTACATAAGCACATTTGAATCTATTTTGGTATTTTATTGTTAATATATGTTGGACCTAGACATAATATTATTGAGGTACCGCGACCTCGGCACAGAGCAGGAGAAGGAACAGGGGGGTTTTTAGTCAGTAAGAGTCTGACACTCCCTCCTGCCCGGCCCTGGGCGGGAGAAGTCATTTGATGATTTTCCCCTCACAAAAAAAAAGAAAGACATATTATGCTTATCAATTGTCAATCACAAAAATTGGGTTGTATCTACTCCTTGTAAATGTATAGTGAACTTTTTGTTGCTGTACATTAATTTAATTTACGTCTAAAGTACATTATGCTAGTTTTTCTAAGGTATTTTTTTTATTATTATTATTACGCCAGCAATTATTATCTGTCAATGAATGGTTTATATACAAATTGTAATATTTTCGTTACTATTTATATTTATAGTTTACTGTACTATTCTCAATGAAAAGGATCATACGCTCCGTCGGGGCCAAAACTGCTATATTAATATAATTTCGCTTACAAAAACCTTTTGATTGTTACACAAAATCTTTTTTTTTTATATTTTTATTCATTTCAGTATCCTCTTTTTTGTGAATTCCCTTAATAACAGTAAGTTTCAAGTCTTTTGGTAGTAGATATTTCGTCATAACGTCATTTTCTTTTTAATGCACTGGTAAGAAGCTCACTGGAATACTGTTCCACAATCTGGACCCCATATTACTCTACCTATACTGACAAGGTTGAATCAATTTAAGCTCGTTTTGTTAGGTATCTGTGTTCAAAGAAAAACATTCGAAGATCTATTCCTGATTATAGTGACAGAATAAGACACTTTGGGTTTTTAAGCTTAAAGGAAAGGCGAATTCATTCTGATTTACTGACTCTACAAAATTGTTAATGGCCTTCTTGATGCTCAATTGATAGAAGGTTTAAAGTTCCGGCCTGACCGTCGTAGTGAGCGATATCATCGTGTTTTTGAAATTCCTATATCTACTTTAAATACCACATTTAATAGCCCTCTAACTCGTATGGCAAGATTATATAATGAAAGGGCCATTATGACAGATTATCCCATCGATATTTTCTCTATGAACTTCGCATCATACAGACGCTCCCTACTTAAACAATGTGAACAGTGCCCATCGTTATTGCTTTAACATGTTTTTTTTTTGTTTAATTATTAGCTTAGTTATATAAGTCTCAAAAACCTTTCATTTTCAATGTCATGCACACCTGTAATTTGTACAATTGCTTGTGCATCCAATTATTTGATTATTGTGTTTTTTGTATAACATTGGGTGATTGTATTGTTGGTGTGCTTATTTTTAAATAAATAAATAAATAAATAAATAACCAGTGCTATAGTGTTTTTTAAATTAGTTATAACACTTTGTATCTGATTTGGTAGATATGGCAATAAGAACCAACAGATACCAACTCCATGTGGTATCAATTTTGTAGATTTATTTGTTGCCCCTACCCTAGGTTGCACCATAAGGATAAGTGTATTGTTGCATGCATTCCACCACCATAACTTACTATTTGTGTATATTATAGTATTTTGTTATTTATGTTTACCTTGTTGAATTCCTTGTATGGGTATCTGCATTCGATATTTGGGCTCCATTTGTAGTATATTTGGACTTAGCACCTGGATCTGTACCATTGGTTGAGGGTCACCTAGAGATTCATAAAACATTGTGATTAGACTATGTATCAGATATGTGAGACCCGTTATAGTTCTCAATTGGCTGAATATTATTTGAATATGAAATTCGGTTTTTTGATGCTGCTCTATCATTGTTTTGTACAGCTATACATACCAGGTTTGACGCCCGGCAGTGCAACGGGCACAGTAATCAGTTGCGGTGTAGCTTGCAACGTGCCGCTGTTGTCTAGAGCACGCATGTACTGCACACCACCATCGCCCATGACACACACCTAGGAACAAGATAGTAGGAATATATTATCACTTCATAGTATAAAACAAAGTCGCTTTCTCTTTTCCTATATCCCAAAAAACGCTTCAAAATCCGTCTTAAAGATTTAATATACCTTTAAAACTACGCAACCGATTTTGATGCGTTTTTTAATAGATAGAAGAGGAAGTTTTATATGTATAACATTCATTGATTAGTGGAGCAATTTAGTATCAGCATGGCACACGCGCGAATGTGGGGCGAGTCTATAGTAATAAATATAAACAGTTGATATAGGATGTGTCCAAAGGAGATATCTCAATCTACAATCCAAAGGTTGTAGATTGAGTTCAGTTACAGATACATAGTAAAGTCAACATGGTGAACTTGGTGCATAGTAAATAATAGTAGGTAAGGATTGCAAATGATACACCAAACCTATTAATTTCTTAAAACAAGCCTGATCAATTAACTCATGTTATCTTTAATTGTTTTAGTACAGAAGTATAGAATGTACAAAATTAATGTTTCGTTTCAATAAAACAGCTCTACATATTCATTGTGTGACCTAAAAGAGTGAATTCTATCAAGTCCAACATGAACTAAATGAGTACAATTTTCTAAGAAAATTGTCAATTAATATAAACTCTTGTTGTGTTTTAACTGGAATAAATTATTTAGTGGAATTGTCTGACATCACTCAGACATCTGTCTATTCTAAAACATTATGCGAGTCGTTAATTTATCACTACGAGCTACGCGTTTAGTTCTCACATATAAAAAACGTAAAAATTGATTACACCCCAGCGTCTGTGGAACACATCTTTTGTACATGTTTATGCAATATTAATGAATGTGTAGTTTCTAACTCTGTTTTGCTCAGTACAGCTTTCACTTATTGCATAATGACAATTATTTATAGACTATTCTCTAGTGCAAAATATTTTTAAATCATTTTTACTCCTTGATAAGTGAAGAGTATGATATTATATTATGATAAAATTGGAAACTACATCTCTCATAATTTGCACACTCATTCATTGAAATTTTATACCAAGATTTCCAATAGTAAAAGCTTCTACTTTAACCGATGTAAAATACACACTTTAATGTTTATCAGTATTGTTTCTTTTATCACATCAATTTATTTACATGTTTGTTTAAAGTGAAAACAAACATTATGTTTGACTTTACGGTTTATTTCTAACTTTCAAATGAATTATAAGAAAGTTAGAAACACACATCAATAGTGTCAGCATACTGAATGGAGATTTAATTTCCATTTTAGCCTTTTAGACTACTTCAAAGCTTAATATATAATAAGTTTAATGTTTAATAAGAGCTTATAAAACGAGGTGTTGCAGCAGATCAGAAAGTAAACCAATGGAATGCTTATAAACCGTGATGTCATGTCAGGTATACCAATATTTACCTGTTGCATAGCTGCACCATTGTTGGCGACATTCTGCTGAAGCTTCTGAACGGGCAACTGACCGCTAGTAGTCACTAAGTGGGTACCAGCTGTGCCCACTGGTGCAAATGTAGCAAAATTCATATCACTGTCCTCCTCGCTGAAAAAAATAAACTATGCCTTAAGACATAATATTTGGATTTCCTACTAACAGTACTTACTACACAGTCATTCATTGCATTCAATTTTGGATTATAGATTTATGTAAATCTAAAAAGGGTTTCATTTTACTTCTATAAAATGAACACCTTTAAAAAGGGAATCCTGATATGAAATAATTTTGGAACCTTACAAATTTCCCAGCTATATGACAGAGCTAACTAGTCTTGTCATTTATATATATTCAAAAATAAAAATGTAGTATTATTTTTTATTATATGCCAAGATACAAAAAATACAAGTTTTTATAGATTATTATGATTCTGATGCATACATTCTAGTTATAATTAAACAGTGTACAGTTATTTCTGTTGCGACAAACAAGCAAGTAGAACATGGGAATACCAATGACCTTGTTTTGTTGATTATGACAGTTACAAATTATTTTAGAAAGACTAATGTTGGATCTTCGTCTTTTTGGCTATCTTACCTCTTGATAAAGGACACATTGCTTTGTGATGTATTTCCATGTGCGTACAAGTAAGAACAAGAGCTTGAGACTATCTTAAAAATAAATAAACCGTATATATTTAGATCCTAAACAGAGACCTGTCAGTTCACTTCCAGCAAACAGCGACCAAATCATAGAAATTTAAAGTTGTAGAACATTTAGGAAAAGTTGTTTGACTCATATACTTGTGAAATTTATGATGTAATCTTACAGTGAAAGTAGGAAGGGTTTTAGGTAATACATATGAATTTAATAAATTATTTGTACTATGCATACTATAATGGAAATATAATCCAAGTATGAAGATATTTATAAAAATAATTTAGAATCCAATTTCACCATCAAGTCATCAGTATAAAATTTTGAAAATAAATATAATCCAAAAAGAAGTCATTCGCATACCAAGAGGCATCCTCTCTTGAGGGCATCTTCTGCATATCGCACATTGTTGTTATCCCTCCGCGCGTCGCCGCCGAAGCGGGAAAAAATAAAAATAAAATTCAATGTCCCACTTGAGTCACTATAGCAACGCGTATCCCCACGTCCCAATGTCCCACCACCGCGGCGCCACTGCGCACGGGACTACTCTGGGACCAAGATGGTAGGGCACATACCTCTACCGACCACCAAACACAGCACTACACTAAAATTAATTCAGCCGCGGTGAGAGGCGAAAGATGATCGCCAACTTCTACTAATAAGAAAGTGGGTTAAAGAAAGTTTTTTATGCAGGCCCGATAGTCGACCGACGAGTTTGTTATACATACTGACAGACAATTGGCGTGTATGTATGCACATGTAGCTCTAGCGTGATGCTCACTTTCTCTTTGCTGTACTTTCACAAGACTGAGGTGTGGTTGTGGTTCACTAGTTGTGGGAAGCAAACTGGTTGGGTAATAATCCGGCTAACTTGCATTCAACATATTTGACATAATAAACCTCAATTTAATCAAATTTTTTCATAACTACCTTGAAAGTTAGAGCCGTATACGGACATATCGGCAACAAAAGGTTAAAATAAGGTCATACGGAGTATAATGTGTCATTGACCTCAAAATACGTGGAACGGTTGTTCCAACTCGATTATCACCATGGCTTCATTCATACATTTAACATAAAATGAAAATAATCATATTTTCACTACAGATGAAAGGGTTAGGGACTGTACCGCATTTGAAACCAGGTAAAGGTAAGGGTTGCGTTTGTTTCAGACAAAGGAGTCGCAACAAATATGGCCGATACCCTTTAGTTACGCAATTACAAATAAATAAAGAACAATTCGACTCTAAATATTATGAGGGAACCCCGCAAGTTCGTGGGTGAAACCAAACAAATCGAAGGTTGTTCACCCCTACCAGTCCTTACGACCGGCTCGGCGGCTGCGATTGTGGCTATGCGTTCATCACGCGTCGCATCCCCACCATGATGCGGGATCCCCTCCATGTGCCGTCACCAAATCACTCCCGCTCCCGACTCCTTCCTCCACTGCCAGGAAAATTGCGAGAGGAGGGGTTGAACGCGGCCCTCGCGGCACTCTCTCGCGAGCGCTCAGGTGGCCACGCGCCCCTTCTAACGGTACTACGGAGTACCGCTTCCAAAATAAGGTCATGGATATTCACACATTGTAAACAATAATTTATGTATTACAACTTACCTATGACATAAATTTTATTATTTTCACAGTTGACAATTTTTTCACTTCGAATTGCTCAAAATAAATTCCATAATAAATAACAACGACGACAGAACTAAATAAACAACGAAGCCCCTTCTCTTTTAACATTTACGACAAATGGGGTCCGCCATACTGTTTCTGTAGTGTATGGATTTAACGCCAGATGGCGCACTAATTCTTTATCGTGATTGGTCAAAAATTCATCGTAGTGACGTTTCTGGTTGAATACCACAACAAAAAATTAAAATTGTTACCATGCTTCAACAATTTTAATTGAAAACGTTACAATAATTCAATTAAATTACTAAATAGGTATGTTCTAAATTAATACTAGAAGTAACAAACAATACACATCATACACAAAACTTAATCAGGTACCAATACCACTAAATCTATAATTAATATGGAAATTGTTGGCCGCATCTTTGTATTCTCTCTAAATGTAATTCGAATAACAACTTATTGTCATAATAATAACTACTTTGATTTGAGTTCATTCCAGGGTCATAGCTCGGTCTTCGTTCCGAGCCTGATGAGGAACTTGGTGATGAGATTCCATTTTCTGTGTTTATTCCATTAACTTGACTAAGACTAGCATCCTGTGCTTGAGTAACAGCCGTATTTAAGTTGTTATTTATATGCAAATTGTTTATTCTCTTTGACAATGGCATAAATTCACACGAGTCGTCCTCGCGAGACCTTTTTCTGTAAAGATATAAGTAGTTAAGTAGCACTTATTATCATAGGGAGGCATAAATCTGCAAGGTTATAATCTAAATAAATGATGAAGTAAACATACCTATTTTCTGTCATAGTACGAATTATGTTAGTCCCATTACTTTCGATACAATTATTCCAGTTGAAATTGGCAATTCTCCCAAAAGTCATTGGTTTCTATATTTCTGCCTTAAACTTTGTAAGATTCTCTAAGTCGGAAAGTAAACGAACAACTTTTTTATTTCACAACGAACAAGGAATAAAAATAAGAAATGGATGGACACACAAATTGAGTTTCGGCGTAAAAGATAACAAATGGAGCATGTGCTCTATGAATACACAAAGATTGTAACCTAGTTTGTCATGGGAGCGACAGAGATAGCATATGATCAGTGTTGCAAGTTCGTAATAGGTTTGGGCATGGAAAACACGGCCTGCAGCTGTTTATTTTTTTTAACCCATTGTCACAAGAACTGTATACGTTTGGTTTCTTCCAAGTACATAAATATAAGTTATTTTTTTTATTCTTAAATTATGATTTTGTAATATCTTCAATATTGCTATTTATTTTTGCTTTTTAAAGAGAGGAATCCAACAGTGAACTATCAGACGTTGTTGGTATGATGGGATTGTAATTTCATAAAATTAACATTGATTAGAGAAAAAAATCGATTCCTGCAATTTGGACGATTATAAATTAAATTCTTTATTGATAACGTTATTTAATTATTTATTTTAAGAGAGATAAGATTAACATGAATGGACCGCAAAAATAAAACGATTCATTAATTTTATTTTTCTTTCAGAAGATGGCGCCAGCAGCGCCATTTCCTTCCTGTCTGTCTTCATTCGTAATCTATTTGGTCAACAGATGTCGCTGATAGCTTATTTAATATTTAAGCCGCTGCTTTAATTATTAATAGGTCTATTAATATGCGTATGAAATGAATATGATGCTACAAAAATATACAAAAGTTCATAATATAGGTATGTATGCAACTAGTCAAACAAAGGCTCCTAAAATATGCTAACGGTTCCAAAGACTTGTTGTTAAACAACGACTGTCCTCAGTCATCCGGACTGAGAACAGCCGAATTTCCAAGTTAAATACCCTTTTTTGCGGTGGGTCCAATGACTTTTCAATGGCAAGGGGGGAGTGGCAGACTCTTACTGACTAATAACCACCCTCGTTCCTTCTTCTGCTCCAGTGGCACTGGTACCGTCTTACACTTGCCCCGTTACCTCGGCATCGGCAAGTAAAATAAGGCAAGTATAATCGGCAAGTAATATAATAAGTAAAATATTATTTTTTTATGGAATTGGAGTAAACAGATCACCTGGTGGTTAGTATAACCAACTAACACCGCCCCTAAACCACAGCTGGGCCCGGGACACACGCACAGATCTAAATAACTGGACAGGACAAGTGCTTTTCCGGTCCTTTAAAAAGGAGTCTTCATGTGTCGACGACACTTCATTTCACATTTTTTGTGAGGAAGCACATTTCGCGAATACTGCACAGTTGTTGCCAGTCAATCTTCTATTTGGTGTGGAGAACAGGGGTGTCACGTGAGGTTATAGCAAAAAGACATTGTCAGGGATTAAACCTTTGTATTAAACCAAATACTTTAACATTTAGGTACTTAATCCAATAGATAAATGTAATTCGTATTTATCTTGAATACCTACACGAATAGATTGTGTCGCAAGTTGTAAAAGTTGCTAAACCATTCCAATGATCAGTATAAGGGTAAAACTTCAACGACAACGTCTCGATTTCTGGCCAAACATGGCGCGCAAAGAGGTGTCGTGTTCCCGCCTTTTTATGGCTAAAGAGAACAACGCGAGGCTGTTGTTGTTCGAAACAGATGTCTGTGTTATTACTACAGATTAATTAGACTTATATACGTTATAAATGGCAGACTATAAATTACTTAACGTAGTCAGAAGCCAATTAAGACTTGTGGAACAGTAAGGCAGCATGCTACTGCGAATGACTGCCAGGTCTGCAATTGTGAGCTTGGGGTTCTAAACACATTGTAACCTACTTGGTTATTTATTTGGATCAACAATGTTAATACCTAAAATTTTTACTAGTACATACTTACAACTATTTTTATATTGGATATAATTTACCAACTACTACTTTATCTGCTTAAAAATTAGGTAAATGCCGCTGTAGCACCAATACTCATTGTAGGTTCGTACCATTTACGACTACGAGGTAGCTCTTAAGTCGAATGCTTTATTACCAAGAGGTTCAGACCATCCGATGTACATAGGTAAGGCAAGGTATCTATAGTTTCAAGAATAAAATTATAAGCACAGCAACATGTAATCATTTCAATCTAGGTCAGAGTTAGCAATTCAGCGTGCTGTTCCTATCTTGAATGACGTGATAAGATATTCATTACTTTACATTTTGAAATCAAAGTCATTGAACTTTAACCCAGAATAATAATAATAGTTTTCGTGAGTGAAAAATGCTCATATTTTTCATACAAATTCTCAGGTTCCCAGAATTCGCAGCCATGAATATTTAATTTCATTAAATAACAGCGGTTGTTGTAACTCATTACCGCAGCCGTAAAGTCGTAAGCTTCCGAGGCATTACGTGGTTTCATTTAAATTACAAATGATATGATACGAAAATATTGTCGCCGGTTCCGTTCACCTTTTGGAATGTTATTAATTAATTGTTTCAGAAAGTGCTCGCGAATGCAACGCAAACGGATATAAACTTGTCTTAAATTGAAACGAGAGAGAGCCGGCAGTAAAATGATCAAATTAACGCTGCGTTCTACCGTTGGCTAGTGCGTTATAATATCACATTTTGGTGTGATGTCGCTCAGAAATCGGCAAGGCGCGTGCTCGGCGGGTGCATCGGCGCGTGAACGCAGCGCTTTATCCGCTCTGCTGCATGTCGTGTGGAATTCGCCTTATATGGTAGCGAATGTGCTGTCTGCACCACGCCTAAAAAATGTCTATTGTTGTTATAGGAAAAACGGGCGTGGGAAATTGTGGAGCGTAACCTATATACTAGACCAATGCGTATCGAACGTCGGCACACAATACATGACAAATTGCCTACTCGACCAAAGTATATTGCCATTATTTGATCAATTGATAGTACCTACCTACTAGGCAGTGGTAGGTAATATCACTTAAGACCTTAAAAAGGTCGAAGTTTTATTAGGTTTATGAAAATTAATATAGAATTCTATAAAAGCTCTATTCAAATATTTATTATCAATCAATCGTCAAACTAAACAATCATCCTTTTCTTGTAGATTTATTTATTTATTTATACACTTTATACAAAAACATGTAAAGGTGGACTTAATGCCTTAGGCATTGTCTAACAGTCGACCTTTGGGTGATTGAGAGATGAAAGTGGATTTATTTATAGACTCTTACTGACTAAAAACCATTTTTTTAAGATATCTTTTTTTTACTTACTTTTATTTTTAAAACGTTGCCCGTTTGGTGTCGTGGAATCGAATCGAACCCGCGACACGTTGTACGGCAGCCAATTGCACGGCCACCGCACCAACCGCGCAGTCAAGGTTATTAGGTTTCGGATAACATCTAAAGATTATGCTAGTAAAGTCATGTGCGGAGAGGAGTGGTTACCCGCGTGTTTGTAACTTAGCCATGTACGTATATCGGGGATCAAGGGACGATCTCCGGCCAGGCCCGAGCGTACGGCGCGTAGCGTTCCGCGCGCGCCTCAAAGAGCCAATAGACCACCACAGACGGGGCCCTATAGGGCTGATGTTCAGCCGGGGTTGCGGGGTAAGCGCAATGAGGCACCGCGACCTTGGCCCAGAGCAGGAGAAGGAACAGGGGGGTTTTTAGTCGGTAAGAGTCTGACACTCCCCCTGGCCCTGGGCGGGAGAAGTCATTTGATGATTTTCCGCTCATAAAAAAAACCATGTACGAATCAATAACGCATATCTATACCATGTATTATATCTCAATGTGTGGTTATCTATGTATGTACATCCAAAGCTTCCGTTCGAAGACGTTACTTTCTTAGAGATCCGTTGTGAGCTGTTCACATTATGTACCAACTATTACTTTCTCTATTCATACGCAGTCTCGTCACTTTCTAGCGGAGACTTCATTAATAAGATATGATGAGATTGTTCGCAAACTTTTATAATCAGATTGAACTTCTCACAATGTCGCAAGTGTTGTGTAAATTGACGGAAATAAAATATATACTTATTTCTTTTTCGTCACACGCATTGTGATAGCGTGTGTTCTAACAATTATAATCATTGCTATGTTATATTGTGAAGGTAGTGTTATATTATAACAAGATATCTCTTCATCTTTCATTCACAGGCCTACTAACTATTATACCTACTACTTAACACTCGTTAAGAAAAGGAAAACGTAACTGTTTTACTTTCAATGGAACGTCAAATTCTCTATTATTACGTAAACACTATAATATGTGTTTATAATTCTGATTTAATGTAGATAACAGAAAACACAACATTATATTTTTATAAGTTTTTTATTATTTTTATAATGTGCATTGGGCTGGCGTTTGGTCGCCATATCGGTAAGCACGCCTACCCAAAAGCAACGTATTAACTTCGACCTTGAAGACAATCAAGTAATATCCTAATTCAAATAAACTGAGTGAATCGTACAGTCTCACTATAAGTAGATGCAAGCCATAGAGGAAAAATCCCTGGATAATTTCTCTATGGTGCAAGCATAGCTTATAAGTATTGCTACTTATATAAACTTTTTACAGATGTGCAGTAGGTAGGCACATCTGTAAAAAGTTTCCTTTACTAGACCTATCTTCTTGTCAAGTAGGTATTGGAGATGTTTTGTTTCATAATCAACTCCATAACAAGTTTAGTTAAAAACAAGAAAATCTCTAGACGAGTGGGTTTTTTGTAGACGAATCATTCAATTGAAGCGTCTACAATGGAATAAGATATCTGTAGGTATGTTACGGATTAACTTTCTTTCTTTCCTTCCAAGCATTTTCATTGAGTTGGATTCGACTCTGCACGCTATACTATTTAAACTTACAGAGATTTACAAGTCACTAGTGTTTCAAAACAATAAAATAAGTTTTTTTTTTTAAAAACTACCTACACGTTATCTTTTAGACAAGCTGCGAGTTTACATTGCCAAAAAAAGAGTCTGTTATTTTCTTTTTAACACCTTTTTATGACTTTTATTTAAGGCAAAATCATTAGATGACTTCTCTTGCCCAAGGTATGGTGAGAGGGAGTGTCAGACTCTTACTGAACCCCCCCCCCCCCACTGTTCCTTCTCTTGCTCCAGGCCGAGGCCGT